GTGAAGTCAGAGACGCAGAGAAGTCTGCTGACTCTGCTTCTCTTCTCGTTTCATCTTCAAAAACTCACACATTACGCCTAGACAATGAAATGTCACAAAAGCAATTACTACTAAATTAGTCGTCACTCTCCTTATCAGATCCTGATTCCCCGGACGACTTATCCGACTTCGGCTGTTCTTTTCCGTTCGGCTTTGGTGTTGGTTTTCGTACTGAAAAAAGTTATTAGACATTTGATAAAGATGTTTTGGTCTGATCGATCAATAATATTGAGAAACAACAACATAAATAAATAAAAATAAATGAGTAAATAAACAGATGATTCTGTTGTCTTCTGACCTGGCCGTGGAGATTTCTCTGCGTCCGTTTCGTTCGCATCTGAGTGCTTCTCGCTTCCACTGTGATCTTCGTGTTCCGTAGCTGAACCGCCGGAATGGCCAGCGGGCGAAGGCGAGCGCGACCTGCTTAGTGAAATCGTAGGATTTAAAAACAAAATCAGTAAAATAAACATAACGGCCATGGATTTTGCGGGGCAGAGATGAGCGGCGCCGTTACAAGGCTCACGATGCTCGGATCGAATCCCAAGAACCAGTTGACGTTCTTTGATGTAAAAAAAACCGCTGACTCCGCACTTCATCCATCGACGGTAGCTGATTCCAGAGGTCGCTTTTTACTGGTAGTCATAGGCCATACCCTGTTCGCCCACTATTCCTCCATACGAATACGGAACCGATGTTTTATTCCTACCCCGCTCACTGATGTAAGTGCCCTCTGACCGACTCCCGCCCGCTTACATTTTTTATCGCACGTTAGTAAGAAACGATTGAAAAGGCACAGACAGGCAAACACAGTAGATTTCTAGGCGCTAACGCAATATACGAGGGCATTTTCTAGGACTCAATCTAGGAGGTGGCTGGAGCTGTGGAAGAAAACAAAAATGGCTCACGCACCTTGGAGTCTCTCCTCCCCGCCTAAAGGCTTAGTCCCGTTTTTACAAGAAAAGACATGTTTCACGCGGCTTCAAATGCATGCCATCACAATGCCCTGTATATTGCGATAGCGCCGATTTTTACGATTTTTATTCACAACGATATTGGCTCCGCATTAATGTGCACGTCACTCGGCGCTAATGATTCCAGCCACGCCTATTTCGGTGTTCGCTCCGCCCTATGACACTGACCTTTCCTGCTTCGCTGGGTGCGGTTCATTGTTTTCAGTCCAGGTACGTAGAAGAAAAACTGTGGGTTTTTTTTAAAGACTAAACATTACTTAGGCTCGGGTCCCGTTTTTTACAGACTAAACACTACTCAGGTTAGGACGGGTTTGCGCATGCATTCTTTCAAGCAGGTTGACATCTAAGAGAAACGGCCAACCCCGCTTTCTGCGTGGTGTTCATCGGGGTACGCATCAGCGAAAGCTGATAATGTGGTTAACATGAGGCTCAGGATTGCAAGACGATTGACGTGAGTCAGAATCTGGTTACTCTTTGGTTACGGCTTGGGTGACCTCTACTCAGAGGAAAACGACGTCCACACCCCATCTTATCTACCGAACTCGCTACCTCCTCTAACTAATTTGGTTTTCGCATGTAGGGGCGTGTTCTGGATTACGAGGCAAATTTCGCACGGCGGTTGCGTCGTCCGTTTTTGTGCGGTAACGCCTTCGTGAATGCCACAAAATTCGTCGCTTCAGGTCGTGCTCTCCAAGCTGCAACATGCGCACGCGTAACGGTAACTGACGGTATAACCAGTTTCGATTTAATTATTTATTTATTTATTTATTTATTTATTTATTTATTTATTTATTTATTTATTTATTTATTTGTATTTATTTATTTATTTATTATTTAATTTATTATTATATTATTTGTTTACTTATCTTATTATTGCTTATTTATTTATTTATTTATCAAGCGGACAAATATAAAAGTTTTACTGCCTACAAATCTCGGAAACTCACTTCTCTTCCTTGTGTTCTTCATCACTGGCATCAGGCTTTTCAGAAGAATCTTCCTTTTTAGGAGACGGTGATCTTTCGATGGTTCGCGGTGTCTCCTCAGTCGCCGGTGGTACGACTATCTCTTCATTTTTCTCCTCGGTCTTCTTCTCTTCCACTTTCTTCTCTTCTTCCTTCTTCTTTTCTTCTTTCTTTTCTTCTTTCACCTCCTTTTTCGTCTCTTTCGTCTCCTCTTTCTCATTGGCCACAGGGATTATCACTTCGGTTTCGGTTTTCTTCTTTTTCTTCACTACTAAACAATGCATTAATACTATAATAATAATACGCAGCTACGAAAGATGAAAAAGCTCCCTTTGATGAATTTATAGGTCAAAACCCAAAACATTTAGGCACAAACCTTTTTTCTTTGGTTTCCCGTCAGCGGTCTTCTTTGAAGGCGTTCCTTGTCCAGATTTGGTGCCAGGTTTCGCGTTCTTTTCCGATGTGGTCGACGCGCTGGTCTGTAAGGTGGTTAAATTTAGTCAGAAGCTTAATTTTTACCTCAAAATGCGTATTCTTCAATTATTTCAACGCATCTTGTTATCATTTTTTCCCAAAACAATTTTACTCTATCTTCATCGAAATCCTATACATAGGAGGTAAGAATTTCATAAAAATGTGATAAAAATAGGCGAATTCTGGTCGTGAAATATTTTTTCATTTTTTTTACTTCTTTCTCAAGAAAATTTTTCTTCTGCGAGCATTCATTGTGTGCTCCAACTTCACCGAGGAGCAAGGAGCAATAGGCCGATGTCAGACTTTGCGAATCGCGCGATTCGCTAGCGTCTGCGGTCGCGTCGCGGCCAGTGAATCACTCAATTGGCTGGTACCGCAACGCGACCGCGGACGCTAGCGAATCGCGCGATTCGCATTCGCAAAGTCTGACATCGGCCTAATCAGTAGCACAAACCGCTGTCGAAGGATTTTAGGGTGTAACATTCTTGTTTTTGCCCTCAAGGCGAGCGATTACGTTAGAATCTGGATGGGTTTGATTACAAGGGGGTACTAAACGGAGCAGCAGTGACAGAGAAGTCGAGAAATCCATCAAGACCATCCAAAAGAGGGTCCTTGTGTTTGCCCGTTGATGTTCGCCTAAGGACAGGCCAGTGGCCATGAAAAATGCTCCCACAAAGTGAAAAACGAGCGACGCTGCTGGTGGCAACATTCTGGTGGGCGGAGCACATGCGAAGGCGGAGCACACAAAGTTTAAAACCGTGCGTGCGCTGCAATCGCTCCACCTTTCACTGCGAAGAATGCCAACTCGCTTCTTTCGGCTCTTGGCTACAGCTTCCACTGGCGCATGTACTTCCACGCTGCACATGTACTTATCGTACTTGCTTGAGTTGAGAGGAAAATGCGGCACTCACCCATGGCATTGATAGCGCGTCTTTTAGCGTGTTAGCGGTCGGAGAGTCTGGGAGATAAAGAATTTGATGGAAAGAAACACATGGGGTGGGGCGAGGGAGCCACAGCATGACAAACGGAGATGAGAAAGCGAGACAGCGAACACCACAACGGTGAGCGTTGAGGTTGCTCAAAGGAGGAATTCACGATAAGAACGAAGGTCAAAGAAGGGGAAAATTGCATAGTTGGGAGACAGGCGGACCTCCTGAGGGCTGACCGACGCGCAATTGGCAGCGAAAGATTTGACCTCGGCGATCTAGCATGGCTCACTCTTGGCGCGGTTGGCGGGGTACGCCCACCGACTATCTAATCACTCGCCGCAGGTCTATACGTGGCGAGTGATTAGATAGCAGAGAGAGCGTAGTGTTGAAGAGGGCACAGCGATGAGAGTCGCATCAATGCGCAAATCAACGGGCAAGGAAGGGGTCCCATTTCTCGGGTTCTGGGCCGTTTCTCATGGT